GATACTCCGGTCGACAACTAATAATAACTTTAGCTTTCTTCCACTCGCGAAATTTATTTTTATCATAGAAATTTGATTGACGATCCTTAACCTCATCATATCCATCCAAGATAAATACGAACTTACAGTTTTGTTTCAAGTTTTCGATAATTTCCTTAGAAAAGCCAATCCCTTTTAAATACTTTTGAATCATTTTCCCATTAGGATTATCTATAGTTGGAAGTGAAATAAATAAGGGGATATGTTTATTGTCTTCCTTCCATAGACGTCGAACAAGGTAATGGTTGAAAGTAGACTTTCCCGCCCCAGCCTCGCCTAAGAGTAACATGACCTTTTTTTCCGAATCCAAGAAAGTGTCAACCTCAGTCTCTAAGTTAAAAGAGTTCGTGTCATTTGAGGAATACTTTCCTTCTGGTGGCACATACAAGTTCAATGCATGTTTGATCTCTTCGTCAAGTTCATCAAAATATTCATCTCTAATCTTTCCTAATTGCGCTAGTGGTTCTTTGACTTTTGACGCTAAATTTTGTGTTAATTTAAGACGAGCCTCAATTAATAATTCAGAATTAACTTCAAATTGCTTAATTGAATTCACTATATGTGGCACCCATATGGAAGAATTTTGTGCGTCTTCATTCGAAGCTACTTTATTAATAATCGCTTTAGCGCAATCTTTTAAATCTTCATCGTTCTGGTCTGTCAACTGTCGCAAAATTGCCAATACCCATTCTTTAACTTCTGAATGTTCGCCCCACTGAAATTCATTTTGATAAAGATCACCTAAAAACCTAACCGCCCCTTGTTGTATCTTTAAATCCCGTTGCATACAAGCAATTTGTCCTAAGCGTTGGCACAGGCCTATTAGAAACCATTTATTCTTTCTATGATGACTCTGACGAATAAACTGTTCTAGTTTAACCAACTGATTTCCTTGAAGAAGAATATCTATAAATCGCAGAGCTAAATACCACTCCATTCCTTGACGAATATCTTGTATTCCTTCTTTTAATGTTTGAACCGTTTCTCGAATGCGACTTGCAATTTCATCAAAACCTTCAAATGCCTCGCTAAAATCTTTAAAGGTATCTAATAGTTTATTTGGATTTAAATCTTTAAATACGCTAACTAAATTAATAGTTCCTTCAGCTATTTTAAAAGTTCGACGCATAACTTCTTTCCATAAACTTTCATCATTTGGGATATGCAACAACGCCTGAGTGGCGTAGTGGGCATGGTAAGCTAACGCAGGATTATCTTCTAACTCTTTAAGCTGTTTACATAATGGTGCATGTAGTTTCACGCGACTAATACCTTTAGCTCCTACTCGAACCATGGCGTCCAATAACGGACAGATTGTTTGCAATACTTCGCTAAGTAGGGCCTCGTCTTGCTTATGCTGATCTTCTAAATGAGTATGTAATATTTTTAATATTTTCACTAAATTCCCTGTACTAACTTTCCCGATAATTAAATCTGGCATGTTTTGAATCACCTGAGTTAGGCCAATCAATTGTTCAGAATGTTGTAATTTTGAATTGTCAATTTCCTGAATAATTAACTCTAACAATCCTTCATAAATTTCTTTATTTGGAATAGATGCTAAGACGGCAATTTCATTGATCATATCTTTCTTTTTAAATTTTCTCTGGGCAAATAGTTCGATAATCTCACGAGCTAAATTTGTTAAATATTGTATTTGTTCTGGAGTATGGTTTCCAGTTTTCAGATAATAGGCCAAATCCTGAATGTTGCCAATGCCGTGTAAGTCTTCTATCTTCGAATGCGATTCGAATATCAATGGCGGATCTTGAGTAAAAAACTCTGTCGCTATCTCAATTAAAGAGGTTTTTGATACAATTGAACTGTTTGAACTGGTAGAGCTTTCTATAGGTATGTTTTCTGTTTGCAAGGAATTTGATGATGTTTTAGATTTATTCAGTGTTTCGCTATACTTCAGTCCATACTTCTGAGCTTCTTTATAGCAAGCATCCGCGTTACTCGTTTCTCCTAAATCTTTGTAGACCTGACCACATTCTAAATATGCCTTGGCTAAGCGTCCTTTGATGTCATAAAATGAGAACCCTTGAGCCTTGAATTCTTCAATTGCTTTTTGATAGGCATCTATCGCTTTATTTAGATGACCATTTGATTTTTGTTTTCTAGCATTTACTAAGTGGGTCTTACCCTTTTTGTAATGTTTATTATCGAATATATTCATTTTAAATTTTAGTATTGAGAAAAAGGTTGACTTCAATAATTGAGTCGTTACGCATTCTTCTATAATTATATTGTACAAAAGGTACTACAGAAAAGGGAACAAAATATTGAATACTGTATGTGACACAAAAATTTTTATGCACCTCTTTCAACCATGTATGCATATTAGGCTGGAATGGGGCTTATCCAACCATTTTCCGACGTAAGCGTCACATCGCACTAGTGTAATAACTGACCGTAACGCCGTGATGTGTGACGTTGAAATCTTTATTGTTAGTTAGAATCACAGAAAGAGACTTTATGATATTGTTCATAGAAAGTGTTTATATGTCACCAAAAAATTTATGTACTTAAAAAGTTTCCTTTATAATATTAAAAGAAGTGAATTTAACATACATTTAAGAAGAAAGAAAATCAACAAAGCTTTTTGATAGTGCTTGGTAAAATATTTCTAAAATATTTCTAAAAAACATTTTGTGTATGTTTATTTTATAAATGTTTTATTAACTTTGTTTAAAATTTTTTACTTTAAAATTTTTTATATACAGTATAAATTACATGTATAAAAAATAGGATAAAAAAATTAGACTAAAAAAAAAATACAATTTTTATTTAAATATTTATAGAAAAAAATATACGTATTATATATTGTATATATATTTTCATATTATAAACATGTTTGTAAATTATTTTATTATTTTATTGAAATCAATAATATCAATTTTTTAAAAAACTTTTTGATCTTTAAATTAAAATTTAAAACACATTGTCAAATAATTTAATATGTATATTGGTTTTTCTATTTAATACAATGTGAATCAAAAATAGTTGAACTGATGTTTTTTATTGTAATTTAATTAACATAAAACTTAATATATCCATATACAGTATATTAAAGTTTTATTAATATTTAATTAATAAATTATTTAAAAATATTAATTTAAAATCAAAAAAAAAAAACATTATAAATTATATATATACTGTATATGTAAATTTATATATATAATATGAACAGAAATTAAAATTTTACTATAGAAAATTTTTTAAAAAAAATTAAATATCAAAATAAATAAAAATTTTAAGTTTATAAAAAAATTATAAAAGACTTATTATTATATTTAATAATTTAATTTTTTATATAAATAAAAAATAATAATTATATTATTATTATTATTATTATTATTTAACAAATCTATGCATTAAAATAAGTTTAATAATTTTTATTATTTTTATTTTGTAATATAACTAGAATAAATTATATTTAAAAAAATTTGAATAATATATTTTAAAAATGTTATTAAATAAACTTATTTTTTATATTCTTAAATATATTAATATAAGTTTTTATCTTATTTTATCAGTTAGTTATTGAAATATCACAAAAATAAAAATTGATATATTATTTAATTATTTGTTTATTTATATTATATATTTAAAAATATAGAAAATAAATTAAAAATTTTTTTATTTTATAATTATTACTGTATCAATTAACAATTAATTATAATACTGTATATTTAATTAAATAAATTTATAAGTTTATAATATTAACTAAAAATTATAATTATTCTTATTTTTACTTTTAATTAAATTATTAATATATATTTACAGTATATTAATTTTTTTTAAAAGATATATACTATAATATATAATATAGTATTATATTAAATCTAAATTATTCTTTTATAACAGAATACTTATATTAATATATTTATTATTTTTATAAAAAATATATTTTTAAAAAAGAAACTTATCTAAAGATAAAAATTTTACTATTAATTTTAAATTATCTTAACTTATTAATTTAACTTATAATATGTTACAAAACTTTTTGAAATTTTTTTTAAAATTTTTAATAATTTAATTAATAATAAATTAAAAAATAGAAAAAAATTTTAAAGTAAAAAATATATAAATTAACAAATTTTTAAATTTATTGTATTAAAATTTAAAAAGTTTTAATAATTTTAATAAAATTTTTATTTGTAATCAATTTTTAATACTTTTAATTTTAATTTCAAAATTTAATTTCAAAAAATTTAAAAAATATTTTTATATAAAATTTATATTATTGTAATTCTTAGGTTTTAAACTTTATTTTTAATATATTTTTTATTAATATTTATATAGTAGGTTTTGAATAACAGATAAATAAAAAATTCCAAAAAGTTTTGCAACACACTGTATAAATTATAGAAAATACAATTTTTAAATAAAATATAATTGAAAAAGAATTAAAAAATCAAAAATAATTATTATTTTAATTATAAAATTTTTTTTATTAATATGTGCTTAATAAATTAATAACTTAATTGGTACTAATAGTAATTTTTTTTCTTTTTGATATTTAATATATAATTAATTTAAAAAAATTTTATTTATTTACTTGTTTTTTTTATAATTTTAAATTAATATTTTTATAATAAATTTATTAATTAACATGGAATAAAATTTGAATATTTTTATTATATAGATCGTAAAAAATGTATATTTAAAGTTTCATATAAATCAAATAATTGTTGAATAATTATATAATGATTATAATATATTAAATTATAATTATAAAAAAAAAATTATTATTTAATTTATACAATTATTATTGTTATTATAAATTCATTTTTTGTTATATTAAATTGTTAGTATTAATTTTTTTTATTGGCCACGAAAGAACATAAAGATCGGCATGTAATTTTTTTTTTTTATGGACTTGTAGTCACATGTTTGATTATCAATGACATCATGCCTTTCTCCGAAAGTAGCCAAGAATTTTATATGCCACACGTATGCCACGATTCTTTTCCAAGCCTGTAGTTCGAGCCATTATTGGAACCGCCTCTTGGATTCCCGTGATAGTCTTTTGTCTGGACCATGGGTACACCTTAGGTTCTATAAGTGGTCGTTCAATGCAGGTGAATATGTGATTATTGAGGGGTCTCCTTCCCAATGTGTAATGTTAAAAAAAGTTGTAGTATTAACAATGAACTTGACATGAACGTAGCCGACTTTTAACCCCGATTCAAACAAACTTAGTAGAGATCTTGTCC